CGCCAGCGGCGAGTTGCCAGCGACATCTGGTGGCACAGGGACACAGGGACCTGGGGACACATGGACCACCCTCGTGAGGATGGCACCTGCGCATACAGGGATGCACAGATTGTGGTAACAGGGGTGCAGGGTCCACTACCACAAGGTCGTAGGGACCACGGTCCTCGGGATACACAGACAGAGGTCCCAGGGGAGCATGTATCACCCCTGTGGGGATGGGGAGATGTCATCGTGGGGCTGTGCAGGCTACAGGAACATGGACACAAGGACCAGCATCATGGGGATGTATGGGCCGTGACCCCAGGGACACATGGCCCACCAACATGGGATGGACGGACAACAGGAACACATGCACCACCACCATGGACCACAGCCACAGGGACTGGTGGGGATAAGCCACTGCGGGAGGCAGGGCCCAGGGGATGGGCAGGGGGACATTTCCACAGCTCCGAGCTTGGCAGTGGAGTCAGGGCTGAGTGAGGTCCCTAATGCCAAGTGAGCAAAAGGGGATGGACCAGTCACCAAGGTGCATCCCAAGATGCAGGGGATACCCAGAGCTGGGAGGTGAGGAGCAGCTGCACATGATGCAGCACAGCAGGAAGACGGATGGTAAACGCAGGAAACACTGCAGCCATGGGGTCACCCCCAGCTCCGAGTGCACAGTACCATCCCCAGCATCCTGCTCTGGACTCAACTCACCGTCAGACAGCCCCAAGCCACCAGTGAGCACCCCAGTCCCCAACTCTCCTGCCTTTCTACCTCCCCAAAGAGGGGTGCCATGGGAAGCCCAAGCTTACTGGCTTGGCGCAGGGCTTCACACAGTCCCCACTTGCCCTCACCTTGCAGCCGGAGGTCCACCACATCGCTCTCATCCTCCAGCCCATCGATGACCTCGCAGCGGTATTTGCCATCATCCTGCAGGCGCACATCACTGACCACCAGCGAGGCCTCGCGCCGGCCGGCCTGGAGGAGGTGAGCGCGGCCACGGAAGTCCCCAAAGGCCACGTAGGTCTTGCCGATGGCCACCAGCACATCCTGCTCCTTGGTGTAGTCATCCCGTAACTTGGACCACTTGATGCGGATCTTGCGCTTGGCTTCCAGGTCGGGCTCATAGCGATAGTGGCAGGGCAGGGTGACATTGCCACCGTTGAAGCTGTAGATGGGGTCTTTGGGAGTCTCCACCAACAGTTTGGCTCCATTGAAGTAAACCACTGGGGACAGGGAGGGAAGGCATGATGGGCAGGCATGGACCCAGGGCTGGGCAGCACCCCCAGATCTCCCTCCAGACACCTCTTCAACCTGAGCATCGCAAGAGCATCCTCCGAGCACCCCTGGAGCATCCCTGCCTGCTGCTCTGGGCCCCATATCCCCCCACCGTGAGGTGGGTCCCTGCCCCATCCAGAAAGAGAGGGTCACTTCAGCCCCTTGCACCAACCCACCAGCCCCCCTTTCCTGCCCCTCTCTGCTATACCTTTCTCCTGCCCGTTGCCCTTGTCATTCAT